GGGCGGAGGTTGCGGTGAGCCGAGATCGTGCCATTGCACTCCAGCCTGGGTAACAAGAGCGAAACCCCGTCTCAAAAAAAAAAAAAAAAAAAAAAAAGTTATTCAAATAGTTTACAAATTTTTGTACTAAGTCTCTGAAATGTGGTATGTATTTTACATTTATGGCATATCTCAATTTGGGCTAGACACATTTCAAGAGTTCAACAGCCACATGTAGCTGGTGGCTATCTTAATGGATCATGCAGGTCTACTGCCCATAATTTTGATATAGTTTTATTGAGACAGCCGAAAACAAATTTATATGAACTCTGGGAATTTTTAGTCTCATCTGTAGTCTAAACCATACATTTGGACTAGGTGTCCTGGATGATTTTATAAACCATAAATCAGTGCTGCACTTAAACGATAAACAGGCAACAGGAAAGCAAAACCAACCAAACAGCTGAAGGCAAATTTCAGAGCCTAGGCAAGAAAGCCTTCAGTATTTGAATTTATATTAAAAAGAGTTCTCGGGCCAGGCGCGGTGGCTCAATCTTGTAATCCCAGCACTTTGGGAGGCCGAGGCGGGTGGATCACGAGGTCGAGAGATCGAGACCATCCTGGTCAACATGGTGAAACCCCGTCTCTACTATAAATATAAAAAATTAGCTGGGCATGGTGGCACGTGCCTGTAATCCCAGCTACTCAGGAGGCTGAGGCAGGAGAATTGCCTGAACCCAGGAGGCAGAGGTTGCGGTGAGCCGAGATTGCGCCATTGCACTCCAGCCTGGGTAACAAGAGCGAAACTCCGTCTCAAAAAAAAAAAATAAAAATTAAAAAAATTAAAAAAAAATAAAAAGAGTTCTCAAGTTCATACAGCTTTATAAAGCAGACTAGATACAGGAAAGGCTCTGTACTTTTAAAAAGATTAATCAGAAGCTTAAATCCTGATTGTAGAGATTGCTAAACTCTGTGTGGCTTATTCTTGATACAGAGGAAAGTTATCACAGCTTAATGCATTTTCTCTGTTCATATTCTGACTCTGTGATCTATATCTGATTTCTGCTCAAACTTTATGAAGATTACATCAGTGATTTACCTACAGTGTTTTTTTTTTTTTTAATACTCCAGTTAACAATCAGATGTGTACTAATACCAGCTGTTTTCCAACATGACTCTTTGGGGGACTGAGTATAAACTCTCAAGCAAATGGTTGGTTTATTTCTCTATTCTGTGCCATTTGACTGGTATTCAAAAGCAATGATGTTCTTGGTGTATCTTTTTCCAGTAGTTGTCCACGATTTAACCTTTGCATACATTTTCAAATATAAGTGGGTCTCTTTGTTTCCAATCTTAGTGCTCAAATTCATTTTCTACATTTCTCCATAGATTTTTTTCTAAAAGCAAATGTTACAATACCACTTTTTCCCTTGCTTAAATTCTACCAGTAGTTGCCTATCACTAACAGAGAGGTAATACAAGCATGGAACCCACTGGCAAAAGTGGTTTGAAACCTGAGATTATTAGCAAACCAAACATTTATCCTAATACTCCCACAAACATGCAAAAATAAGGCCTACCCACCAGTCAGGGGAGATACTTAATCTAAACCCAGAAACCTGGGTTCGCTGCCCAAACGGTAGGACTTGCCATGATAAAGAGAGGGAAAGTTTCAACAGTCTGTTCATATCAAAAACACAAGACTGCTGTGGCCAGCTTCCATTCTGACACTCAACAGAAGAATGTGTGCGATGATATGAAGTGGAGGTAGCCATGAAGCTCTGGGCTTTTTCTTTCACCATTCTTATTTTATATAACATTTGGAAGAAGCGGAAATAGGATATGGAGATTTAGTTAATTTTAATTAAGTCAGATGACTAGGTCATGGAGGCATACTGAAGAGCTCAAACACTTTTCTGTACCAAAGGGCTTATACCAACTGACCACATTCTCACTCTAGATGGCTCACTAGATTTTTTTTTTTTAATGGGGTCTCACTCTGTTGTCCAGGCTGGAGTGCAGTGACAAGATCTAAGCTTGCTACAGCCTCTGCCTCCCGGGTTCTTTCCTTCATCCCACCTCAGCCTCCCGTGTAGGCATGCATTACCACATCCAGCTAATCTTTTTTAGTAGAAATGGGATTTTGCCATGTTGCCCAGACTGGTCTTGAACTCCTGGCCTCAAGTGATTCACTTGCCTTGGCTTCCCAAAGTGCTGGGATTACAGGCATGTGCCCAGCCCGGATTGCATTTTCTCAAACACAAGTCATCCGAACCTAAAACCAGGGAAAAATCTAAAAAGCACTGTATTCATTTAAGGAAATAATATGAATTTAAACTAGAAGATAGATGTGGATAGAGACTAATTCTATATTCCACAAGAGTAGAATGCTAGAAGATGTATTTTTAAATAACTCTTCTGGTAATTCTGGTATACAGCCATGGTTGTAGGTGTTCCTATAGATCTATGACCTTCCTTCACTAATTCCTCCTTTAGCAATTTTATGGCTTTTGGTCTTATATATTATCACTAAAGTAATCATTCATACGTTCTGGATTATTACAAGAAAAAGATCATTTTTGTGGTCAAGTTTGGGAAAGATCAAACAATAAAGAGGTAATCTTACTGAAGTCCTTCTCAAAGCCATATGCACATTCTATAACCCTGACACTTGGTGAGATTCTCTCTACTCCATTCAAAGGATTGTTTGCATCCAAACTGATCTCCTACCTCCCATACATCACGGCAAAAACGATCATTATAAGGCACAACTCTACCCTTGGCACTCCTCTACTTATAACCCTTCAATTACCCTTAAATTACAGAGCCAGCTTTAAATTCTCTAGTAAAATCTGGCTTTAACCTTTTCAATTTCATTTTTCTCTTTTTTATATGATGAAGAGTATAGGCTTTTAAGTCAGACATTTTTGGGTTTAAATTGTTTTGTCTTGGCAAGTAATTCAAATTTTGTTGCATTTGCTTATAAATGAAAGAAAGATAATACTGCCTCCACCCAAGAAAGCTATTTAGAGGATTATAAGGTTGGTTCTCCTCATAGTCTATGTGAAAGAACTTGCTGTCACCTACAGAACATAGTAGTTCTCTAATTTCAGCATACATCATTATTAGAGGGCATACTACTTACAAAGTGATGCCTGAGTTACACTTTGAACTTGATGTGGTAGGTCTGCATGGGGCTCTAGAAGTGCACTGTCCAATATAGTACTCAATAGCCACATAAGGATAATGAGCACCTGAAATATGGCTATTCTGAATTGAGATGTGCTGTAAGACATACACCAGACTTCAAAGACTTAAAATCAGAAGAATAATGCAGGCCAGGAGTGGTGGCTCATGCCTATAATCCCAGTACTTTGGGAGGCTGACTTGAGGTCAGGAGTTTGAGACTAGCATGGCCAACATGATGAGACCCCAGCTCTACTAAAAAACAAAAAAATTAGCCAGGCCTGGTGGCATGTACCTATAGTCCCAGCTACTCAGGGAAGCTGAGGGGGTAGAGGTTGCCGTGAGCCAAGATCACGCCGCTGCACTCTAGCCTGGGTGACAGAGTGAGTGAGACCCTATCTCAAAAAAAAAAAAAAAATGGTATTCAATAACTTTAAAATTGATTGTTAGCAAGATATTTTAGATATGTTAGCCTAAACAAAATATATTAGTTCCATTAATTTTACGTGTTTCTTTTTACTTTTTAATGTAGGTACTAGAAAATGTAACATGACATACATGGTTTGCATTGCATTTCCCTTGAATAGCACTGATACCAAATCTGCATTTTCAACAAGTCCCTCAGATGACTCTCTGGTAGGCATCCTCAGGTCACCTTCTGAGAAACTGCATATGAAATTCTAAGCTCTCTAGAAGAAGAACTGATGCTTTTATACATATATCTTTTTATCTTCACAGTGCTAGAACACTGTGAGCAATTACCCATAAACTGATTGAATTTAGATGTGCTTTAAATATTGAGCCATCACAATTACAAAATAAATTTCTTTTAAAATTTCATTTAATTTTAAATATATTTTTTTGGTATAGGTAGGTGTTTCTCAGGCTGGTCTCAAACTCCTGGCCTCAAATGATGCTTCCACCTCGACCTCTTTAAGTGTTAGGATTACAAGTGTGAGACTCCCTGCCCGGCCAAAAAAATTATAACTGAAAGTTTTTTGCTTTTTTCCCCCCCCAGTTCCTTAAGAATTATTTCTGATTTGCATTTATTGAATGGAAACAATTCAAACTACAAAACAATTCAAACAACAGCTTTGGTTTGTTCTCAAATCAATAAAATATTGATTGGCTTATTTTCTAGAAAAATTAGGGTTATTTAACTTCATATAGAAATAGACCATTTGACTAGATTCCAAAATTGTTGAATATTATCATATCAAGTTATTAACTTAAAACTACTGATTAATACTAAACCAGGAAAACACACTAATTTTTTTTTTTTTTTGAGACAGAGTCTCCCTCTGTCACCCAGGCTGGAGTGCAGTGGCGTGATCTCCGCTCACTGCAAACTCTGCCTCCCAGGTTCAAGTGATTCTTCTGCCTCAGCCTCCTGAGTAGCTGGGATTACAGGCACCCACCACCATGGCCAGCTACTTTTTGTATTTTTAGTAGAGACAGGGTTTCATCATATTGGCCAGACTGGTCTTAAACTCCTGACCTCAAGTGATCTGCCCACCTCAGCCTCCCAAAGTGCTGGGATTACAGGCGTAAGTCACCATGCCTGGCCCACACACTAATTTTTATACCATAGAAATTTAGCCAGATAAGGACAAAAAGAGACATATCTGAGAAAAGTGGGTATCCATACAGGAATAAATGAAGTGAAGATGGCTGAGTGCCCTGAAAGAAGAGAAAGGAAAACTAATGCCTTCTAAAGTATCAGGATACGGAAAAGTGTTACTTTAATGACTGTGAGAAGAAAAATAGCTACAAAATTAGAAATAACTTTTAAAGATTATTTGGAAATAATTTTCAGTAATGATTTTTCCACTTACCTCATTGCCACATTGCTGCCATCAATAACTACTGGTCTCAGATTTTCACCATCATCTGTTACAATCTCTTGCATTGGAGATTCAGACCTCTGAGATTCCAGGGAAGAAGTTTCCCGTGTTACAGTGTTAATTGTACTAACTGTTTGATCAGCCTCACTTTTATTTCCAAGTTTGACAAGTTCTCCCAAAATATCATTGATTAAAGCATCAGTACCAAGTTTGTTTAGCACAAGCTGAACCTGTTCTTCAGAATAACCTAACTTAAGTGCAAACTCCAGTTTTGTTTGGTATTCTCGCACCACATCGGGTGGTTTCTTTGCTTCCTTGGATGTAGTCTGGGACTCATCAGGTTTAAAGTCTTGCAAAATTTCATTGCGCTTGAGTATGTGAGGCTCTAAACAGGGAGACCTGCAGAGTTGCCTGTGAGTCTTAGTTAATAAGCCTGGCTCTACTGAAATGCTACCCAACTGTACTGACTCATGATCAGAATTTGTGTTTTCTTCAGAGTCACCAGAGCTTGCATTCTCTTCAGACACCTCTTTTTCATCCTTCCCTGCATGAACAGTATCCATAGTTGGTTTTTCTACTGCTGACCAGGGTACAGCTGCACTTAACTGTGGGTCGGAGCTCTCCACATAAAGGTGGCTGAGGTCATGCCCTAGGTGATCCTTCAAGCCCATGAAGCTGTTACGTGTACTTGACTCCACTTTGCTGTTTTTTCTGTATTCCTGAATGCAAAGCACCCCGTATTCCTAGAGAAAAACGTGAAATGTTTAGAATTTCATAGTTATGGCTTGATTTCTGTCTCAATGGAGAAGTCAGAAGAGAAATACTCAACTACTGAATATCTAGTAATACTTTCTATTTTGTCTACATCTTCTCCTCCTAACACCCTTGCCAAGGGAGTATCATCTGCCATTTTTCAGATGAAGTAGTTATGAATTAGAAATAAATGAAGTGATTTATTTCTTCATTCTTCCAAGGCAACAAAGTAAAAAAGTAGAACTGGATTTTTCACCCAGTTTCATCTGACTCTAAAACCCATGTTTTCTCACAATATCATGCTCCTTCTCAATCTCGATGGATCAGATTTTTCTACTTTTAGGACGGCTTATAATTCTAGTGTGACACATAGAATATTATCAAAATGCATGTTTTAAATATGCATGACAGGTTATTCACATTTTTTTCTAACAGAATTCATAAGTACCTATAAATATTCTTTTAAAGAGAAAGCCACATAGAAAGGAAACATTAACTTATACTCGAAAAATCATTATTAATCTGGATGAAGCTTAAAAGCAATCTGAAAAACTTTCAACAATAATATAGACACTGCAATGAAAGAGCACATATTCTAAGACGGCCAGAAGGAAATTAAATAATTACAAGATGAGTTAAATTCTTCTTAGCGATTAACAGGGTTTTGCCTTAGTAATCATGCTTTTTTGACTATGGAACATGGTAACACAATATAATTTCTAGCATTATGCTATCCTTATGAAGTGCCAGGGAAACAACAGTCTATTGCATTCTAGGAAAAAATAAAAGCTGTTTTATTCTATGTGCATTTATGGAAAGCAGAGACAATGTCTCGCATAAAATTAGCAGCAAACAATTAGGCATATTCAATACACAATATTATCTCAGTTTCTTGAATTTTATGGCAGAAAATGTTCCTGTATTTTATCAGATTAACTAGCCATTAATCTGCATTTGGTTAAAGTGTAATCTTTTTTTTCCCCTATTTCATATAGGAATACTTTTACTATTTAAAATTGGTTTGTTTTTTGCCGTTTTACGATTTTTCCTTAAAGACTATTGGAAATATTTCTCTACTAGGAACGGGTTAGAAAAATAAAACTATTTTCTCTGGTACTTCATTGTAAATTCTAAGAACTATAGCCACATCAATGATTTCCCTTTTTTTTTTTTTTTTTTTTTTTTTTTTTTGAGATGGAGTCTCATTCTGTTGCCCAGGCTGGACTGCAGTGGCATGATCTCAGCTCATGCTAACCTCTGCCTCCTATATTCAAGTGATTCTCCTGCTTCAGCCTCCCAAGTAGCTGGGATTACAGGCATGTGCCACCATGCTTGACTAATTATTATATTTTTAGTAGAGACAAGGTTTCACTATGTTGGCCAGGATGGTCTTGAACTCCTGACCTCAAGTGATCCGCTTGCCCTGGCCTCCCAAAGTGCTGGGATTACAGATGTAAGCCACTGTGCCTGGCCTCATGATTTATTTATTAAGGCAATTCTAGTGTTCTGGTCAGGTACAGTATTAGCAAGTGAGTGGTAGTTGAATTTGAGACTGCCATAAAACAAAACTGACCTAAAAAAGAAAACTGAGGAAATGTTTCTAAAGCTCATCAACATCATATTTACACTAGAAATTACCTATTATATAAATGTTAAAAGAAAATGCTAAGTGATTTTCTCAGAAGTCACAAATTTGAAAGCATACCTGGTAAACTTTAATTAGAGAGTCAAGTAATGAAATAAATTTTATTAACTATGGTAAATACTAGAGAAGAGAACATGGAATCTTTAGCTTGATAAAACACTTAAGATTCCTTCAGTGTAGAACTCCTACGCATTTCTACAGGAGTTTCCTCAGGGCTTATTCCCTGAGAAGGTAGACAACTTTAATATCATTGTCCTACTAATACAGCATTCATTAGTTTTAAAGAAACGTCAAATTCCCCTAGCTCTGGATTGTCCAACTCATAAAAAGAAATATCCCTTAGGAGAGCTCTATATACATCTGCTTCATTATGAAGCTGTATCCATTTCAATTTTTTCCTATTAATGTGGATATGCATCAGCCCAATTATTTAGAATTGAAGGGATTTTAAAAACAGATTTTTATACCCTGTGATTTATTAACTACTGTAATATACTAACACCATAATGCAAGTAACAAATCACAGCAGCATCCTAATAAAGGGATACAGTTAAAAGTCCACACCATGGTCTTCCTGGTGCTCCCACCGAAAGTATCTTAAACGAGGAAAACTTATTGGAAGCTGGGCTGCCTGGCAACCAGAAGCTGGTTGCTAAGCTGCACTCCTTTAACATGCCATCATGAATGCTAGCACAGTGAAAGAATAATTTGGTATGAACAAAAGCCTATAAAAGAGACTGGGACTTAAGTGCGTCTGGTTTACCCTCCGAGAACAATGCAGCTGCCAAACCAATCTGGAAGCTCCGACATCATTGTTCTGTAAACCCCACAATCTGCTCTGACTGCAGGAAGTGCATTTAATGGGCAACATTTTTGATCTCCCCTGAAAAGTTTGGGTTTTACATAAGTGCTGTTGTGAGATAATTCTTCAAGATAATGACTTGCTAACCAAATCCCTGAATTGACCTAGGAAATATTTTTTAATATTGAGCAGTTTGGGGTTTTTGTTTTTTACTATATCAGACAAGATATATGAAAAATACAACCAGTGGCAAATACTAGAAAGAAATGTTCTGCTTAAAGGATAAGTGCAATTATTCTTCTTAATTTTCACATTTTTCAAAGACACAAAATCAGATACTGCAAAGTTTTTAAACTGAAAATTAATCACTCTAAATAAAGTATTTAAATCTTTCTGTATCTTGGATCTAGTATTTTTAAATAGTGTCAGGGAGACTACCTAAACCTGCTATACCATGTCATTTTATTATATGGCTATCATGACACAAGGGGGAAAATGGGATTTTCAGTTTTTTAAAATAACTAAATCACACAAACCTCATTTGTATACCAATGTATTTAGTGACTACCACACATTTTTAATGTCTGATAATTTATGTAATTCGCACATAATTTTAAATAAAAAGTTTATAATAATTAGGTTTACTTTTATTGCTAAGGATAAACATAAGCCTGACCTATTTAAAAAAAATTAACATCCAATTTCATTAGGCAAATAAGTTTTGTCTTAAACTATTCTGGTTGAACTTTTTTCACACTGACAGGCCTCTCTCTTTATCTTCTAGATTTCATTGGTTAGCTCATAGAAGGTTATCTAATGTCATCGTGTACTAAACAAGCAGTTAAAATTATTTTTGGTCCTTGCAAAACAAGAGACTAAATAGAAACAGTACAAATAGGGACAAATGAGTTCAATTTCGAGGCCTATAAACCACGTATTTATTCTATGTCACATACTACAGATTTGAAATAACCTGATTTGTACTGATCCAAATGGTAAAGATTTGGTTTTTTAAACTTTGATCTTCAGAATGCTTACTTACCCACTTGTAATTAGCAAATGATTGCCCTTACTTATTAGAACACTTAAAAACAACCCAGAATTTGGCAATGTCTTGAAATCATTCGATAGAAACCTAAATGATAAAGATTTAAAAACAGGATATTTTAATAGGCTGCTATATTTGTTAATATAATGAAATATGTAAAACGTCCAAGAAATTACTATGAGAAACTTTAGAAGAAAGAATGGTACATAATTTTATTTTTGTTCAGTGCTTTAAAAATGATTAATATAAACTTAAAAAGGATGGAAAGACCATTAACAGCACAAAATGTATTATTACATGTAAGGTAGAAAATACTTTTCTCCACATTTCCAAATGAATTATTAAGACTTTTAAGTGTGCATTTACTGAAATGCAAACTCATATAAACCATCTTAAATTTAATCAATGAAATAGTAACTAATAAGGGTAATTTTGCTAATTTCATGAAGCAGCATAGTCCAAGTTTCACAAAGTAGGTCAGTTTTTGCTCCCATAGTTATCAAAAAACTCCAAGAAATACAGCTAATTTTTAAACTGTATTATCAGGGCTGCATTATAATTGACCTCAAGACACTATATTCTTGAACACAAAAGGAATTGGGCAAATATATAATGATTTGCGAACAAATTTCTATAATTACAAATATAGAAATTCCTTCCAGATACTGTATTGGAAACTCAATTTTTCTTGCCAAAGAGCAACCTAAAAATTAATTAATATTATTTGCTGAAAAATAAGTAAATGTTCACGCTAATTTTGTAGATGATGATGAAGTGTAGCTAATTCTTTTAATTACAAAAAAGAAACTTTGTACTAGCTGAATGCAGGTTTATAATATAATGGCTATTCACTAGAAATGTATTGTAAACACTGAAGTTCCTCCATTTAGTGACCAAATTTTCTGAAACTTCTCATTAGTTAACTTGGATAATTCTTCATCTAAATCAGATTTAAGAAAATGTTTTTTTTTTTTAAATTCTAAAGAGCCTCATATTAATCAGGAATATTAGACCATAAACCTGTTAAGCCGATTTGTTTGTAACATAAAGTTACAATGCCATAAAAGTGGGTTCTGGTTGTTAGCCAAATGGTAATACTATGAGAACAATGGAAATAAAATAATGAATATGTAATAAATACCTACTGCTGTAGTCTCTGTGTATTTAATTACCATTGTATTTGAGTGAGTGCTGTTGTCTGCATCCCTCTAGCTAACAAAGGAGGGATGTCCCTTTGAACAGATTGGTTAATGCTCTGGGGCAACAGATGTCTACTGGAACTGCAGGAGACCAGCAACTGGTGGCCTGCCCATCTTCGGAAAACTTTCAATAGACTTATGCATATGTTCACACAATAGGGCATGTGGTAGAAATGAAAACCTCTTTTTAACCCTTTATGCTCTTTCTTTCCCTCCCAACTGATAGCAAGTCTTTGTCTCTTCCTCCCTTCCCCTTTCCAGAACTCTTGAAGAAAATACAGTTCTTGGAATGACAT